TCCCCCTTATTAATTATCCGGTTTCATGATTGTTTTCAGGGTTGACTCTGCCCTCCATCCTTCCGAGGTGGGTGAAATGAGGACCCGGATTGTTGTTGGGGGGCAATATGCTGACTCTGTAACCCGCTTAGAGAGGGCTGAAAGCCCTATGAAGCGGTATATAAGTCTAACTGCTATTGCTATTGCTATAAGACACTAACCAAGATATAACAACAAGTGTCTGCATATATTGCTTTCTTTCTCCAGCTTGGCCACTTTAAGATATCCCAAAGTTGGAAGGGACTTTGAAAGACATAAAATCTTAGACTCCTAAGGTTGGATGGAACCTTGGAGGGAGGGGTGGGTTTCTGCCGGCGTTACTGCCGGTTTGGTGCGCCCGCTATTTGCTTGCGCGTGTCCAGTTGCCTTTAAATAGGCCTGCTCATGCGCATTAAAACATTAAACATTAAAAATGTCAAAAAAACATGCCACCCCGACCATGGAACCGGCTTGGGGAAGTGGCGAGCCTGCCATCCCTACCGGTCCGGCGACCCAGTCGCCATTTCCACTATTGGTTCACCTGAACTGGTGCGAACCGATAGCAACCCACCTCTGCTCGGAGGTCATCGAACCATAGATCTCTTGACTTGGAAGGGACCAATCAGATATCAGATAATCATAGACTCCTATATTTGGAAGGGAGTTTGGAGATCATAATTTCTAGGATTGGAAAGGACCTTGGAGGTCAGATAATCATAGACTCAATGGATGGAAGGGACTTTGGAGGTCAGATAATCATAGACTCCTATGGTTGGAAGGGACACTGGAAGTCAGATAATCATAGACTCCTATGGATGGAAGTGATTTTGGAGGTCAGATAATCCTAGACTCCTATGGATGGAAGGGACCTTGGAGATCATGATTTCTAGGATTGGAAAGGACCTTGGAGGTCAGATAATCATAGACTCCTATGGTTGGAAGGGACATTGGAGGTCAGATAATCCTAGATTCCTATGGATGGAAGGGACTTTGGAGGTCAGATAATCCTAGACTCCTATGGATGGAAGGGACCTTGGAGATCATAGAAACAGAGACGCCTAGTGTTGGAAGGGACCTTGGAGGTCAGATAATCATAGATTTCTTCGGTTGGAGGGGACTTTGAAAGTCGTAGAAACATAGACTCGACTTAGTAACCGGCCACCACACACTTTGGAGGGGGCTCACCCCGGCTCGATCCTGCAAATCACACGTCCTGTTTATAATTACGATGGAGAAGATCATCTAGTCCACCCTCTCTCTGTCAGGCTCTTTAATTTCATCTCCCCTTGGAATGGGTGAGGGTCACCAACCCACTGGCCCTTTCCCTGCCCTGCCCCTCCCTTCCCATCCCCTTGCTACTCGCTCCCTCCGCTGCCTCCCACGATTTTTGGCGCTCCGTGTACCAACGTGTGTCAAGGCAGGATAGGTTTTGATCGCGCCACCACGCTGCTATCGTGCCATTTTCCGCTACTTTCCACGGACGCCCCTGCTATATGCAACCCCCCCCCCCAAAAAAGAAGCGTGTGTGTCAATCCTTCCCACTTGTGCCCAGAAGGTGCCATCAGGCTATGTAAAGATCTGTATCTGTGGAAGGATGGCAATCTGGGTTTCGAAGCGTCATCGCTCTGGCATGTTGCCTGCGTCTCCAACCACCTCCCACACCTGATGTTCCAGCGCATGGGGGCTTCCTGGTTCCTCGTGTTCGGTTCACATTCCCAGGTGGCAGAAGGAGGAGAAACACTGCATAAATAGCGGGGGAGGGGGAGGACGGCGACAAAAATCTAGTTTTTGTCCTGAGATCCCTGGTTTCTTTCGCCCATACTTCACCCTTATTATTTTATAAATACCGTATTTTTCGGAGTATAAGATGCACCTTTCTCTCCCCCCCCAAAAAAAAGAGGGTAAAAATCTGGGTGCGTCTTATACACCGAATACAGCATTTTTGTCCTGCAGAAACCCCGCCCCCTTTGCAAAAATAGACGTGCAGAGGGTTTGAGAGGCTTGTAAAATGCTCCTGGGGACTGGGAAGGGCAAAAATGAGCAAAAAACAGGCTGTTTTTGCCCCCCCCCCCAGCCCCCAGGAGCACTTTACAAGCCTCCCAAAGCCTCTGCATGCCCCTTTCCCCCCCCCTAAAAAAACAGCTCATTTTGCCCCCTTCCAACATCCAGGAGCAATCTACAAGCCTCCCAAACCTCTGTGTCCCCCCCTCCCCCCTTTTTGTGTGTGCAAAAAACAAGGCGTGCAGAGAGAGTGGGTGGCCTGCAGAATGAAAAAACTTTTTTAAAAAATTTACTTCTTCAAAATCATGGTGCATCTTATATTCTGGTGCCTCTTGTAGTCTGAAAAATACGGTAATTCAAAGCGGTGAACAAAGCGAATATCCTTCCTCTTCTGATTTTCCACACAACAACCACTACAGCATCCCTGTGAGGTGGGTTGAACTGAGAGAGAATGCTAGTCCAAAGTCTGGGCTTCATGCTTAAGGTGGGATTAGAACTCACCGTCTCCTGGTGACTGGCCCTGTTAACTTTCATATCTAAGGCAAGACTGGAACTCTTGCCAAGGTTTGAGCAATAGTTCTACGTTAGGGATCCACAACCTATGGGCCACATCACACAACTGGGCCGTTGCACAATTGCCACCGGGCCCTGTGAGAGCCAGATGGTACACGCACATTTGCACCCATGCATGATCCCATTCGTGCAAGCATCAACGCAACCAGTCGTTGGCAGTCTGGCCCACTCGTATGAGCGTCATCACAACCACTTGTGGCCCCACTTGCACGAGCCTCGTCGCAGGGGGTTTCGGCCACACTCACGCAAGCCCAACACGCACAAACGTTGTCGTGGACCTTTGCGCCCACACTCACGCAAACCTCATCGTGGACTGTTGCGGCCCCATTTCGTGCGAGAGTCTCATTGCGGGCACTTGCGGCCCCACTCATGTGAGTGTCACCACAAACGTCACAAGCGCGTCCACGCATGCACTTGCACGGCCCTACCCTTCCCACAAAATCATCCTCTCTTTCCTTCCCCCTTCCCCCACTTTGGGCCGCCAATCCATAAAGGTTGGGGAACTCTGCTCTAAATCGTTTTCTCACGTTACAGCTCTGTCCCAGACTCCGGTTTCTATTCGCTGCCTTTTCCTTAGCTGTTCTTCCTCCTTTCTCCCAGTGGCCCGTTCTTCCTCCTGTTGCTTGAGGTCCTTCCCTCTTCCCACTCCGTCGAGAAATAGCCCCACAAACAGTTACACGGGCTGTACATCAATGTAACAATTGAGGAAGAAAATAATGAAACAGCCAGGCGCCATCACAGAAGCAGTTGCAAGCCACCTCCAACCCAACAGGTGTGCTTCGCATGGACCCAACGGCGCAGGGAAGCAGGTGTTTCCTAAACAGATAGATATCGATGCGGAAGAAGAGACGGAGTTGAAAAGAGAGGAGGGGGAGGGTTGTCTCCTGATAACCACGCTTTGACAAGCCCTGGATCGGCACGCAAGCCAGATGGCACGCCTAGTTTATCCGCAGAGGGATCCCGGCAAGTGTGCAAGGCCCGCTCGTTGCCGCTCCGCTGGCATTGGCAAACAGGCGAGTGTCAGCCAAGCAGGGACCGCTTGACAAGAGGACGCTGCCCCAACCAGCTGGTGCCTACTCATTATGCAGCGCCGCCGCGCTGTCGCGCACAGTTTCTCCCCAACACCCATGCTGGGCTCGGAAGGCCTCATTAAGCGGCATGTTAATTGCCGGGGCTTTCTGATTAGCAAATGAGGTTGCCGCTCACCCGAGGCGCGGCGGGACCGAGGAGGAGTCGGATCCCGCTGGCCCGTTGCCAAGACTGGAGGAGTCTCAACAGGAGGTGGCATTCAAATCCTCGCCGACTGCCGACGGTTGGCATTCAGAGAGCTCGGAACAAACAGCGTGGCCCGGAGGCGTGCGGGGACAGCAACAGGGATTTGCCACAGAGAAGGCAACGGAGTGTAAATGGCAGCCAGTCTCAGCCCTGGTGTATCCTCTGTGCCCATTGGCACGTAGGTTTCCAGCACTCCAGAGCTTCCGATACAGGTCTGAAAGTCATCAAACCAAGGAAGGCAGTCACGTTGTCTCTTGAATACATTACAGCTTCAACGTACAACCGTAATGGAGCCTGCCCATTACAGTCGTAAGTCCCGATGGTGGTTATTTTACAGTTGTTGCTTTAAAACTCAAGGCCCGCAGTCTGGATTTGGACCACGGAGGGTTGAAATCCAGCCCGCGGTCCGGCCTGGAAATAAC